GATTGAATCAATTAAATGAAGTTTTATTTGAAGAGCTTGTTTTGAATAAAATACTTTTGCTAATTTGGATATTAGAGTTTATTAATATCCAACTTACCAACCTAGATTGAACATGAGTTATAATCATATTACGTCTTTCAACGTAATACATATATAAGATTCAGAATCGGAAATGTACTTCTTTTACTGCGTTTGTTTTCAATCTTTCTTATTTATGAAGTTTAATTCAAGTTCAAACACAAACCCCCAATTCAATATTATTTGTATTATGTGTGAAAATATGGCAAGATAAGAAGTCATGTATCTCTGTGGACCGACCCTGCTTACTCTATACTATCTTTAGTATTAGAAATAGCAGTGATTTGAGTTATATTAATATTATTTTATCCCATCATTTGTTGGTTTGACACCCAAACAGTTACCTTGGTTTATCTTAAGCTAAATCTCTTTATGTCTGGGTTTAAGGCCATCTTTAGCACATTTGGGAGTCATTTTGAGTATTGGGACAATATCTGAAGTTGTAACTTTAGATCTGGACTCCCCTTGGTCCCTATAGTTAGAAAGTTATGAGATTTGTCAAGCTTGGGCTTTTCCCTTTGAGTTAACCTTTCCCTTAGTCTAGTTTTTGCATTTAGGACCATGCATGTACGTAAAGTTTATAACTTTATGTGGAAACCATGCCTTAGGAGGTTGGATTTGCAATATGGAGCTTTGGGGTGGCTTAAAACATATGTGTAAGTAATGGACTACATGAACTCGACGAGTCGCTTAGCCGACTCGACAAGTTGGATGAAGGTTGCCCGTATTTGATTCTTCTTGAACTCGACAAGTCGATAAGAGGACTCGACAAGTCAGTTAGGGTTTTCCCTGACATATGGACACACATGGACTCGACGAGTTTGTTGGAAACTTGGCGAGCAACAAACTCGTCGAGTCAGTTAGGGTCTTATGACTTTCTGATTTCTCAAGGAACTCGACAAGTTGCTAGTTGCACTCAACGAGTTGGGTCAACCTGGACTGTTGACTTTGACTGTTGACTTTGAATATGATCGAGGCTTGACCAGTTTAACTTCTGGGGGTATTTTGTTAATTTGGGAATTTATGGAAGTGGATCATCAGTGAATGTATGTGTTAGACTTGGAGTTTCATTTGGTGGAGTTTGACTTTATCACTTCAAGCTACTCACGAGGTGAGTTGTCCACACTATACTAACAGGATCGAAGGTACCAATGCCGACCCTTTTCGGATTTGTATCCGGGTCTATTACACGATATGTTTTATGATTTGTATCCTGGTTATAGGATGGTTGCTATGTTAGTGTTCCATTAGATCAATATCCTGGTTATAGGATGGTTGTTATGCTAGAGATCAGTTGGATCAGTATCCTGGTTATAGGATGGTTGCTATGCTAGAGACCGGTTAGATCAGTATCTTGGTTTTAGGATGGTTGCTATGTTAGTGATCGGGTACATCGTTATCTTGGTTATATGATGGTTGCCATGATTAGTGATCTGTTAGATTTATATGACTATTTGTTTATATGTATGTGCACATGTTTGTTGGTTTGGGGGATTAGGTTGATGCAGGTCCTGCTTTGTGTTGTAGGCCAAGATACCCACGACAGACTAGATAGACTGCAGACCTGGGAGGGCATATAGTCAGGCCGAAGGCCGCGCGAGTGGTCTGAACATGCTGAAGGCCATGAGAGGTGGCTCGGACGTGCCGAAGGGTCGGAGAGCGGTCCAGATAGACTGATGGCCTGTGAGGCGGTCCAGTCAGATTGATGGCTCGTTATGCATGTTGTATTGGTTTATATGATATGATTATATATGTATGGCATTGGTATTTTTGGGGTAACTCACTAAGCCTTCGAGCTTACATTTATCGATTATATTTTTAGGTACTTTTGATGATCACGGGAAGGCGAAGGCGTGATTGTACATCTCCTCATATTTCATGATTTTATGATTTGATTATGGGATACTCTGACATTATACTATTTTGAAAACAAGCTTTGTAATAATCATTGGTTTTGAAATGTTTTAAAAAACTTAAATCTAGCATGATTTTTATGGACATTACAAGTTGGTATCAGAGCCTTGGTTTGAGTGAATTGGAGGAAACACTCGCTTGTCTCCAGTCTCAAACTGAGGACAAGATTTTAAAACGATTTTCTTTAAATGGTTTCAAAATAATAAAGAATGATGCAAGTGTACGATCAGCAGGAGCTCGTGGTTAGACCCCAAAATACCTAACGGATTATTTGATTTATGTTATATGTTAGAACATCATGCTATTATTAGGCTAGGGATCTTCAGGAATTGCATGGTAGAATTGTCTGATTATATGATGCATGATAGCCTAGGGTTTTTTCGTATATGAAATTGACATCATTACTATAGTTGCTTAGTGTATGCATCACGACCGTACATAATTAAGATCTTATAGCCTAAGAATGTTTGGTTTGGCCTTATTTCCTGTTCTTGCTTGATGAAGGGCTTAGGGTAGGATCAGGTATTCGAAAGTCTATAGGGTCCAGTGTTATGTATGGTTAACATACAAGAGTGTTGCAGGGTTGGTGGAAGTTTCATGGATGGGTTGTTGGGATAAGTCCGCTAGTTGTGAGATATTTAGCCTTCTTTTAGGAGTGAGGATTTGAGTGCATGCCATGGTTACGCATAGTTTTAGTGCGTTGTGATGATACTTAAGACAAATATGGGTAGGTGTGTAAGGTAGTATGGGCTCGTACTACTGAAAGCACAGGACCCATACGCGTAGCAAGGAAGTCACAACCCCTAGGGTTTTGTTGGGGGTTGGTTCCCGGATTATTATATGTAATATCTGATATCGTCCTAGTATATTTTTCAGCATGGTGGTTACTCGAAGATTTGTGACTAGATCCAGGTCAGAATCAGGAGACGGTAGACAGGAGGCACCCACAATCCCCGAGAATATCGGCCAAATGGGGCTAGACGAGATGGATGCCAGGATTCGAGATATCCTGCATGATGGGGTGGCTGCGATGTTTTGGGTTCTGTTACCGGATATGTTTGGGTCTATCAAGACATCATGGTGGAGTATTTCGTTGATTATTATGCAACCCTCACTGAGGCTACTGCCACAGCGGCTGTAACAGCTGTTGGGGTAGGACCCAGTCGGGCTTTTCAATATCGGGACTTCAACAACACAAAGCCCACTAATTTTGATGGGACTTAGGACCCCATCAAATCCATGAGGTGGCTATCTGACATGGAGGGGTGTTTATGTTGGGTTTTTGTATATTACAACATTCTACGATGCACATATAACCCTAAATGTTTTGGATCTATGTTTTCTCTAATTATACATGCAATATTGTTTTCAAAGCATGAAGCCTACAAGTAGCATACAATTGACATAAACAACATAAAATTGAGTTACAAAATTACATATTGTTGTAGCTTGTTTTCTTTGGCCTTTAAGAACTTAGCACCCCAAATGTGATGCCTCAAACGGTTCACGTCACACCTTGGACAAAGGAGAACTTGAGAGAGAGGTTTCATGCACTCAAAATTGGTTATGGAACTCTAAGAACACTAGGGTAACCGATTTTAGCTATTTGGTGTTCTATATATAGTCTAAGAGTCATGGTTAAACCCTAATCCATACCATTGGGCTTTTTATCCATGATCAATGATTCAAGTAGGCTAACTCTTTATGGATTCTTCCATAAACTTAGTCCATCATGTATCATAAGCCCAAACCATATATATAACTAATTTACACAATTAGTCCCCATTAATTTAATTAGTATTTTTTTATCACTAAATTAATTCCAAATTAATTCTTGATAAATATTAATTAAATCATATGATTTCATTTTAATAATCATCCAAAGCTCATAAACCCTAGATCTAGCATATAATAATCGAATTAACATGTGAATAAGGGTTTAGACCTTACCTTGATTGTTATATAGCAATAATCCTCTTGATCTTGACTTCTGAAAGCTTAGTGCCTCAAATGTTGCACCTCTAATGGAATCACAAACACCATGAGCAACAAGATGAACAAGGAGAAGTATGAGAAGGCACAAAAAGTCCAAGAACCCTTAAGGATCTCTTCGCCACGTTTTTTGGGCCTTAAGGGTTCCTTATATAGTTAGGCTATTAGGGTTATCAAACAAGGAAACCATAATTTGACTGCTTAATCTCTAGCCCGTAGACTCCATCCTTAGTGGCCTTGGACGAATTCTTATGGGTTTCCCCATATATTTCGTCTACTCCAACTTCTAAGGAGTCCATTAACCCATTTATGCAACTATCTTATAATTACAATATCAGTTCCCTTGATTTAATTAATCCCTTTTAGCCACAAAATTAATTCTTAACTAATATTAATTAAACAATATGATTTTTCTTTTAATATATTATTCTCATAATATATTAATAAATCAATCATCTTTCTCTTTAATTCATCCTATCAGTTGTTATGGCGAAGACAACCTAAAAGGATCATGTTCATAATCGGATCAAGTATATACCAAAATAATTATGGGCTTAGACATATAATCCAACATAATCATCAATGTAAGTTTTCATCCTTATGAATTAGGCTTCATATACAAAAGTTTTGTAGGATTATAGTTCATAGTATGTTATCTTTACAAAAGACATAGATCCTTAATAGGTTGCATGTGCCATAATAATTTATCTGTTAAATATTTTTTTCGATTAGTGCATATAATTTTTATAACCTACGTTTTCCATCATTAGTGGGCCGCATACGGTTTGGTGGGCCGATTACTGTTTTGCGGCCCATTGACCTATAATTTATAATGTTGTAATTTTCATTTTTTTCTTTCTCATTTTGTGTGTGTTTCACGTCCGAAATTCTCTGCCAATAAAGCCTTCAAACAACATTTTGTATATGCACTTTTTTTAAAAAAAAAATCTTGTTTATTAGGGGTATGGTAGTATATTGTTAATTTTTGGCTATAAACCGAAAAATAATTAGGGGAAATGGTCAGTTTAGTAATTGCAAACACGGTAAGTATATATGTGGTCTTTTAACGATGATAAAATAAAGTGTCTTTTTAAACAACCATTTTAAAAAACGAAGTTCCAAAAAACATATGCTTTATATTTTACAAATACAAACATAAATACAAAATTTTTATTAGGGGTGTGCATAAAACCGCACAAACCGCCCGCACCGCACCGCATAATGTGGTTTTGGACGCTCGTGGTGCGGTTTGTAGTTTTCATAAACCGCACTATGCGGTGCGGTTTGCGGTTTATAGTTACCAAACCGCACTGCAACATACCATATATATATATATATATATATATATATATATATATATATATATATATATATATATATATATATATATATATATATAGGATATGGAATATACATTACAGCTCCACCTAAGCTTAGGTACTAAACCTCTAAAATATGTCGTTTTATCATGCTAAATATACTCGGTTTGGTTTTACTTGGTAAATATATCATCCTCCATAACATTTCTTTCTTTCATCATCGTTTTACCATCTCTATTTTCTTTCTTCCATTACCGTTTATTACTTTACCCAAGTGAACATTACTAAACCCTAAACCCTAAACCTAAAATCTAAACCCTAAACCCTAAACCCTAACCCTAAACCCTAAACCTTACTGTGTTGATCTTGAATTACCTCTTGAAATATTAATCGTGAATCCATTAACTGTAATCTTTATATAGTAAAACAATTTATTTTCAAGAGGTTTAGTACCTAAACTTAGATGGGGCTGTAATGTATATTCCTTTTTCCCATATATATATATATATATATATATATATATATATATATATATATATATATATATATATATATATATATATATATATACCTAAACTTAGATGAGGCTGTAATGTATATTCCCTTTTCCCATAATGTATAGTTAAACTTAGATGGGGCTATAATGTATATTCCCTTTTCCCATATATATATATATATATATATATATATATATATATATATATATGTATATATATATATATATATATATATATATATATATATATATATATATATATATATATATATGGGAAAAGAGAATATACATTATAGCCCCATCTAAGTTTAACTATTAAACCTCTTGAAAATAAATAGCGTGTTGTGTGTGCATATATATATATATATATATATATATATATATATATATATATGCACACACAACACGCTAGATGTTTACTACTTTTAATACCCTTAATAAAGTTTATGAGATTTCGATTGATAAACATGAGTCAAAATGAAAACCAACTATATCAAAAATATGTGTTTAAAGTAGTTCATATTATAATTTTAAAATATTGTAAAATATTTTGATGTTATGTATAAAGAAGATGTTTATACAAACAATTAATCGTTTGTTCATAGAATATAAAACACGATACACTTATTATGTTTAAAACTAAATTTAATATTTATATTTGTGAAACCACATAAACCGCACAAAAACCGCAAAACCGCCCGCACAAGGCCGCACCGCATAACACGGTTTCTTACCTTTGCGGTGCCCGAAAATAACGAACCGCAGGTTTGCAGTTTTGAGGATGAACCGTATCAAACCGTACCGCAAACAACCCTATTTTTATAATACAAAAAAGCAAACACGGCTAACGGGCTTTTGGTCAAAGTGACACAAAAAGTCTTGTAGAGTTGCTGAATTGCTGGATTATCAGGGCAACATCTCTTTGCGCCCCCTTTTTATCTTTCCAAGTCTATACTTTTATCAAATCGAATTTGGGTTGTTTTGAACCATACAACTTTTTTCAAGGGTTATCTGAATTCTACGTTTCATCTATCAATTTCAACGGAATTGGGGGTTTTCTTTAGTTGTTTTTATATAACTCCTTCTTCAGTTCATCATGGTTTCAGATATTCATACAGATTAAGCGTAGCTTAATTGGAGTTCATCACTTGAATTTCTCTGTACCCATCCAAGATCGTTTGTCGGTAAGATTTTCTCAATTTCCCCCTTTTGATGGATAAATTTCGCTTTTGACTGGCGCTTTATTAGTTTCGTCCTCGAATAAAATTTGTGTTCTAAACCTAGAGAATTCGCTTTATAAGATTGTCAGAGAAAGTATTTGGAATAAAATTGTAATAATTTTATAAATTTTAATCATCCCATTAGTTAACCTTTACATTTATAGTTGTTTTTTTTAGATTCATGGTGAATTTTGTAGTTCTAGATCATCATATGCTTCGATGTAATCATTTGTTGCCTTTTCTCAAATCAAGAATTATGAATATAATCTTGGATGGTGCCAGTTCCAATAATCAAGTCCAATAAATTATGGATCTACGAATTTTGTAATGATTTGAAATTGGTATATGGCCTTGTTTTCGAGTTATCCATTACTATGATGATAAAGCAGAAAACATAAATTTATTTATGATTTTGTTCAGTCACGGGTGCCAGCCATGGAAACAAAGATTTCTCCCCCGGCTCCTTGAAAAGCTAAATATGGAATTGAATTCCGTCCGTTTGGCAACCAAGCACTCCATGGAATGGAATCTCGAATTCCAATTCCGTCTTAATGCTCAAACCAAGCACACCCTTAGTCTCTCGGGTTCTTCTTTTCCGATCCGGTTCATATGTTTTCCTCTTGCAATTTTGTTTTTTTGCAGATACATCAAGATTCAACCATGAGTCGCTCAGAGGGACCCCACCGAGGATTTCTCCCAATTGGGAATCCCTTCAAGATGATGATGCCCAAAACCTCTCATCTCCCATCAACATTCCTAACTGCATTCGAGAAAAATCTAGCCAAAAGATTTCAACAATTAAAGCCAAATCATCCGAACGATGTCATCACCTTTTCATGGATGAAATCCGCATTATCTTCAATTTGTGATACACTTGATGACATAAGAAAACTCATTGTAGATCTAGAGCTTCCAATATGCAGCTGGGATATAAAATGGGTGGACATGTATTTAGACAACAGTTTAAATTTACTCGATTTTTGCAGTGCTTTTGGAACCGATATCGTGAGGCAAAGATTCAGTTACGTGATGCTAAAATGTGCATTACATGATCTTGATTCAGATAACCCACAAAAGCTAATGAAAGCATCTTCTTCACTTCACGAATGGAGACAATATCACAACTCTTATGACAACTCAAAGTTACAAGATTGTTGTGATGTTATATCCAAGCTTGAACAAACACTCAACTTGCCAAAAATCAAGAACATACCAAAAGCCAAAGATTTGGTTAGAGCCATGTATGGACTCAAGGTTCAGACCATGTTCATCTTTACCACATTTGTGGCTGCATTTTCTACTTTCCCTAGGGTTCTTGTTGAGTTGCAGGTTCCTAAACTGTATTTATGGCAAGAATCTTTTACAGAGTTGCAGGTGGTTGTCAATGGTGAAATCAAGAATGTATATAGTTCGAATGGGGTTTCTCCATTGATGGAGCTTCGAAGAATTGAGGAAAATGTGAAGAAGTTGTACCCTTTGCTTCATGATGGGTTGGGTGATGTTAAAGATGAAGTTTTTAAGAGTTATTGTTGTGAATTGATGGAGAATAATGAGAAGTTTTTGGTTGGGTTGGATGAGATCAAATCAGAAATGGATCGATTTTTTAAAGTTGTGGTGAGTGGTCGGATGGCGTTGTTGGATAATTTTCAACTGCAACGACCAAGGAGTGGGGTCCAACAGGTTAGAATGTGACTTCAAGGAATGTTTTTGTTGAATTGTATGTTTATATGTTTATATGTATTTTTCAGTCGATTATGTTGTGGAATTGTATGTGTTGTTTTTGTTGAGTTTTTTGGGTGTTGTTTTTGTTGTTGGATTATTATATATGTTATAGTTAGCATTAAATTTGTATTTGTGTTTATTGGCAATGTCATATGGATTAGTTTATTTTTAACCAAATTGTTTTTTTTTTTTTATTTTTTTTATTTTTTATAATTGAGATTTTGGTTTTTTTAATAAAAAAACAAAATATACTCATTTTGATGATTTTTTTTTTCATTTACAAAAAAAAAATCAATATTAACATGTTTTAATACACTTTTTATAATCTTAGAACAAAAAATAATAAAATAATTATTTAATTAAATTGTCTATAATTTGTGTAATTTTAGAAATAGTATAAGTTGGTTACAATAACATTTACTTTTAATAAAAGATTGTATTGATTTACGTTGTTAATGAGACACAACACAGATTGGAACAGTTAGTTTAGAGGGAGTGATAGCACTCCTAGCATCTTGTCATATCATTTTTTTGTGTAACACGTCATCTTTTTGTCTCAACATTTAAATCTTAATATTTCATAGGGAGTGGTAACACTTCTAGGATACTATTTTTTTTTTCTTTTTCAAAATTAATTAAATTATATTTTTTAATAATTCTTTTAAACCACAAACAATTAATATCAAAAAATTATATTTTTAAAAACACAACATTTCATATTAAAATGAAAAAGTTTCAGTAAAATTTTGCAGAGGGTAATTCTAGAAATTTATGTTGTAAAAGAAATTATAAGTTGGGATCAAATCTATCATAAGATTAAAATCGAAGGACTAAAACTGCCAAATTGTGAAATCTGCATCATCTTACTACTTTGCTACCTAACTAACAAATTGATAATATATATTTTTTTTAACCTGTAAATTCCAATTTCATAGAGACAAACCTATTTGCCAATCATATTGTTCAATTTTTTTCTCTCTCCTCTCGCTAGACCCTTGACCAACTCCCGCTAAAGAGCTTCATAGCAAATATTGAGGAGTGGTATAACATCTCTTGACGAGACTGTTGGCTAGAGGGGTGGCGAGGCCACTCCCTCAAGCCTTATGTATGTATAAGAGAGAGACTAACACCATTATCAAATAGAATATTAATTATAATGGTCTTCGATTTTTTTTATCGGATATGATTTTTTGGACCAGACTTTCTTCAAATATATGATATTTTTTTTTCGAATTTGATTTCATACTGACCTTTGTTTTTAATAGACAAAACTTCAAAAATGGTCCCTGTGGTTTTCGAAAATATCAAGTTTAGTCACTAAGTTTAAAAAACCTCACAGATGGTCCCTGTGGTTTCAAAACTTTTAACAAATGATCCTTTTTGCTAACTCCGTTAACATTTAGCCGTTAAGTGAAGGGCAGTTCTGTTATTTCACAACCACAGGGACCATTTATGAAGTTTTGCCTTATTTTAAAAATAAAAAAATAATAAATATAGTTATTTAATATTAAAGGGCCCCACCCCTGTGTGTGTGTGTGTGTGTGAAGCAGTGGTGGGAATTTCATCTTCTTTCTCCGTCACCACTTACACCTCCGACGATCTTCTCAATGGAGAAGAAGAACTCCGTCACAAAAAAATCAAACCATACACTCCAAAATGGGAACCATCGTCCATGGCCACCATCGACGACCTAACTCTCACACTGATGTTCTTTCTCAGATCCCTGACTATGAAACAATCGATTTCAGTGGAGATAACGGACTGCTTCTCTAAATTCATAGTTGGATTAAAAACCCACAATGAACTCGCCATCAATTCTTGATCAAAACACAACAACATAATTCAAGATTTCTTGAGTTTTTCGTCATTCCCGGTGGTGTTCATCGTGTGTGTCCATTGTCCTTTTTAGCTGTTCCTGTCGGAGTAGAAACGGATCTTCAAGTCTGAACTGAAAACCATAAAACTGGTTTGGATCTTATGACTTCGGCAGATCTACAAGCTCCTTCGTTGAAGAAGAAAACCTCTTTGAATTGGATTTGGATGTGTCTTCTTCGGTGATTTCACAGCCTTCACCTTCATCTTCTTGGGTGTCTGTACACGGTCTCACCCAACCACCACCAAGTTTCAGCTCCACCCTATCACAGTCGGCACCCTCTACGAAATCCCCTTAATCACACCTGAGTTCATCCCAAAATTCATGTAACCCTCTTGCCCTCTTCCCATTCCGTTTTAGTTCCTAATTTTTCCTGCACTGTCGACGGGATGAAAGGGTAAGAGTGTTTCTTTGATGGAAATGGTGATGCCGGCGAGGTTTAAGATGTTAAAGATCATACAACTTCATATTTTTGCAGATGGGGTCATAATCTGGGCATATGAGTGTGTGTGTGTGAGTGTGAGAGAGAGAGAGAGAGAGAGAGAGAGAGAGAGAGAGAGAGAAAGGGTGGGGCCTTTTAATATTAAATAATTATATTTTTTTTCCTTTAAAAAAAATAAGGCAAAACCTCATAAATGGTCCGTGTGTATTGAAATAACGAAAATGCCCCTCACTTAACGGTATAAAGCTGACGGAGTTAGGTGGAATGACCATTTGTTAAAAGTTTTGAAACAACAGGGACTATCTGTGAATTTTTTTGAACTTAAGGACTAAACTTGATATTTTCGAAAACCACATGGACCATTTTTGAAGTTTTGTCTTTTTAATATCTCATAAGTGTTTTTGAGAAAAAGCCCTTATTGGTTTTGTAACTTTTTGAAAAGTGAGTTTCTAAAAGAGATGCTGACTTAAAAGGATAATATATTTTTTGGTTTGTACGTATTTAGTCACTGACTTTTTTTTCGTCCACATTTACCCTTTCAACTTGTTAAACTGTACACATTTAGTCCTTATGACCGGCTACTCCATGTTAGCTGGTAAAATGACTTAATATGATAATATATTTCTCACTTTGTACACATTTAGTCCTTAATATTTTTAGGTAAATGACATAAATGCCCTACAAACGTTCTAGGTTTTACCAATTTAGTCCCTAAAGTTTTTTTGTCGGGTATTATAGGTCTCTAAACTAGGATATGACCTGCTCTTTTAGTCATTGTCAACCCGTGATTGCCGGTTCAGTAACATTTTAGACCAAAAAAACTCATATTGTGCCCCTATAAAGCCAAAAAATAAGTTCGGGGATCAATTCATAAAAAATAATGATTTAAGTGATAGTTATGTTATAAAAGTGTAAATATTGGATAACTTTACGATGCAGCCCTCACTTTTATGACTTTGCAACTTAAAAACATAGCAAATGATCATGTGTGTAAGGACACGTCTCTTAAGATCCAGATAGAACAAGCACTATAACAACCTCTCTGGAAAAGGTTGCCAAGGCTTGAGACATTGCGTTACATACCCACCTATTAGAAAGAAGCTTCCCATAATGATCCCTTACAATAGTTTTCCATGATGGATTTCTATTTACTTCAATCCTTTCACAAAAAGGAGCTCAGGTAAATCAGCAAGTACGTAACCTAACAACTTCTATAGTTTTCTAATGTAAATGGACAGAGAACGGGTGAAACCTTGGTAATAATATTGGCTAGACCAATCATATTGATTAGATCAAAGGGTATATACTTAATCAATTAGTCTAATTAACTACTCTTCTTAATTTGTTAATCTACTCATTTAATTCTTCTTATGGTGGGCCATGCGCCTTCATGTGTCTAAATAAACGATGGAAGAATTTGGATTTAGAAAACATGCTACCTTATGTTTGCGACAGATTGGTAGAAGGCTACTTTTGGATATTGGCAGTCTATTTTGAGCCTCAATATTCTTGTGCTAGGATTTTTCTAATGAAAACATGCAATCTCGCTATCATATTGGATGACACGTATGATAACTATGGTACATACGAAGAGCTTGAGATATTCACCCAAGCTATTCAAAGGTATGTGATATGCATTAATTACTTAATAGCCAACGATACGTACAGGAGTTCCCATAATTCTTTAAATTAAACAACATTTTGACCATTTTAACTAATGTATATAGATGGTTGGCAAGCTGCATCGATACACTTCCTGAGTACATGAAATTCATATATCACGAACTTTTGGACGTTTACAAAGAAGCAGAGGAAGTACTAGAACCGAAAGGAAAAGCATATCATATTTACTATACCATGGAGATGGTATGCAGTACAAATATTAATTATTTACTATTACTATTAAATTATACTTCTATATCTCCTTGTATAAAAATTTAAGTACTTATGAAAATAATAATCTAATTATCAAGTGTTTCACGCATTTGTCAATTTGGTGAAAGAGTGCACTCGAAATCTCCTAATTGAAACAACATTTGAACCATTTGATTCCCAAACATTTTTTTGGCTTTCTGGGGGGCACAATGTGAGTTTTTTTGGTCTAAAAGGTCATTGAACCGACTATCATAGGTTGACAGGGACTAAAAGAGTAGGTCATATTCTAGTTTAAGGACCCATAAAACCCGACAAAAACTTTAGGGACTAAATGGGTAAACCGTAGAAAGTTTGTAGGTCATTTATGTCATTTTCCCTAATATTTTTGTATACATTTAGTCCTTAATATTTTTTTTTTTGTTGCAAAATAAGTCATTTTTATTTTTGTACTTATGATTTCTTTAGTTTTTTCTCACGACATCTTACGTGGGATAACTATATGGTGGTGGGATAGGTTGAGATTGTCCTACTATATGTTGTAGGCCAAGATACCTGGTGCGGGTCGACTGTAAGTTATAGGCACGGAGGCTCGAGAAGAGCGGTTGGGTTAAGGCTACATGCCAACAAACCCGGGTATTCCAATCTGATGACTGATTGGTCCTGATGCATGTTGACATTCCAATCTGATGACTGATTGGGCCAAGGTATTCCAATCTGATGAATGTGGGACCATTATGCATGATAATACGTATGTTGTATCGGAAACTCACTAAACTTTATGCTTACCCAGTTGTTTATGTTTTCAGGTTTTATCGTTGATCGTAGGAAGGTGAAGGCATGAATGTACACACTCATCAACAGTATTGAGGATTCCGTGTTTCTTATATTACTCTGATTTTCGATAAATGTATTTTGAAATAAACGTTTTTTTCTTAATAATGAATTTATAATTAGGGACTTTTGCCTTATCTAAAAATGAAAAATTTTGTTCGTAAAAATGAGACGTTACACATAAACATCGACAGCCTCACACACTTCATCAATGATTGTCCCACATAAGATGTCGCGAGAAAACCTAAAGAAATCATTCATAAGTATTGAATGAGTACAAAAACAAAAAAGATTTATTTTGAAACAAAAAATATTAAGGACTAAATGTATACAAAAATAATAAGGACTAAATGTGTACAAGTTAGAGATATATTACCGTATTAAGTCTTTTTTTTTACTAATTTGGAGTAACCGGTCATAATGACTGAATGTGTACAATTTAGCAAGTTGAAGTGGGTAAATATGGACGAAAAAAAAAACTAAGCGATACAAATCGAAATATATATTATCCTTTTAAGTCATTATCCATTTCTAAAAAAAATTGGGTTGGTATTTATTTATTTATTTTAACCGATGGACATCGTTAGTTTATCAAGACATTATTCTAATTTATGCTATTTGTAAAAAATATGAGGGTGTGGTAGTTTAGATTGCTACCGGCAAAATTCATACAAACTTAATTTTGACCATCGGTGAATTTCCACTATCGACACTATATTGCCGGTAAAACCAAGGGTGAAGGGCGGTAATAACCGCCGATAACGACTACCATATAAGATTGACAGCAATGAAAACACTATCACACTCCACAACTTTAAAAAGTGTTTGACTTACATTTTTAGGAATAAAATGATAAAAAAAAACATAATTATTAGGGTAATTGAAGGGGTATGTTTGTAATTTTCTAGTTAATAAGACAAAAAACCATTAAAAAGTTAAAGTTGCGTTTAGTTGTGGAAAAATAAGCCGTTTCTGGAAAAAAAAAAAAAAAAAACATCCAAGAACAATGAGAATTTTGAAAACGCATTTAGTTCGTCTATTTTTTTAGATATTCCATGGAAAATGAAAATTTTCCGTTTTCTAAAATTATAAAGAAGTTGAAGATTTTTGGAAAACCAATAATCATTATTTTCCACATTTTTCTAACTTTAAATTTTATCTAAAATATAAGCACACCTCCATTCCCACCTTTACATACCCTCACTTTAACACTCCAATCCACCACACCCTTACCTACCCATACCCACCCACACCGAAGCCCCCCAACACCCACCCACAAACAAACACCCATCCCAACCCCCACCCACCCCTAAAACACATACACACATAGCCACAAACACACACCCACCCCCACCCCTACAAACACATACACACACCTACCCACACACATACACCCACACACCCAACACTACTACCATAATCATCGACTTACCATCACCATCACCAACACCACTACCCCATCACCAGCATCACCACAACTGCCACAATTGTCGCCGCCACCACCACCGCCGCCACCCCGCTGCCGTTGTCATCACCACCACCGTCGCCATGATCGACACCACCACTGCCAGTGGTTTCCGCCCCCACCCCACCCACACCTTACCACCGCTATCGTTTTAATGAAACGGATAGAAAAATACATATTTAAACATGTTTTCTAATTTTTTAAAACTGAAAATGAAAAATGAATAAATTTTAACTAAATGCTTTTTCTAAATTTTCCAATGAAAACTGAAAACAAGAAACAAAAACTGAAAAGGGAAAACGAAAAACAGAAAATGAAAACTGTTTTTCCGTAACT